ACAGGTTCTCATTAAATTGTCAAATAACTCAATTTAATAGGTTGAAAAGTAAGGTTGCAAAGGGTGTATCTGATGTTTTTGAGCAGTAATGATAGATAAAGTCGAATATAATTTTTATTGGGAAAATAGTTGATTCATTTAACTATTATTACTACAACTGGAGGCTCAAGATGTTAATTGATTTTATTCACATTTAGGCAACAGGCTGGTATTTCTTTTTTTGTTCACGCCTCTCCAGTTATGGTGCAATTCTCATCTGTTGAGGTTTAGGGGTAGTTTGACCAAAATAAAGTGATCAGATTTCGGTAAAAGTTTTCACATCATAAACCACATGTGATGATATTTTCGAGACTGATGATTGAAAAGAACCTTCTTTTCTCTGATAAAATCCATAATCATTCTACAATTTCCCCCAAGTTACGACGACCATATCTCTAGTGCTATCATTATCTTACTTTTCTTAACGCGACAGTGACATTTTGTGTTTCACTAATCGTTCCCCCCGGCTGTGATTCGTGAAAAAACTTTTCAACCAAAACCTAAACTTCTGTGAACTTTTATTTTCTGCTGAAATTGCAAATACGTTGCACTGGAAGTTGAAGCTCTAAAACACTCAAAGGAAAGTAAGTACTACAAATGTACTCGATTTATTGAGATAGCAATGACACCATTAAATTACTTTCCAATACGCTTGCGCTCTTCGACAGGCCTCCTGTATCATTCACAAAAAGGATCATCTACATCGATCACACCAACAATTACTAAAGAGGACTCGAATTGAATTCGATTGTATACCCTTTTGATTTTGGAAAATCAATCGATTGTGACTCGAATGGAATTCGATTGTATACCCTTTTGATTTTGGAAAATCAATCGATCGTGACTTCAGTATCGCACACCACACAACCATCTTAAGACTAGGACGCTTCCATCTAAGTTACAGAGGGAAAAAGGACAAGAAAAGTTGTCTGAAGAGCTCGTTCCCCTATTGTTTTCCGACGAATTTTCCTCCTTCACTTCTTTCGCGCCAAACCGTGACCGGCGCGTAGCAGCGGATATTCACTTCAAACAAAAATTTACTGAACATGCGCAGACAAATTGCCTCTCTGTTGTTGTAGAGTGAAACATTAAGTGTAACTAGTAAAAAGTTAAGGGGCAAATTACCAATGCTGAGCAGTTTGTTGAAGAAGTCATTGGTGTCTTTGATAGGCATTTATAGATTATGCTAGTAAAAGTGGCATATTTGCTAGTAGCATTGCTTTTTTTTGGCCAAATTATGCTAACATTATGCTCTTTTTTCCAAATTATGCCACCGGTTTTTTAAATTATGCTCTTTGAAAAAATGCAAATAGGTCCAAAATATATATTTTTTAACTAGAAGCCGTTTGTCTACAGGAAAGAAACGCAACAAATCCACAATGAATTTCAAATAAACATGTGGTTCAGGTTAACATGCACACTAGTACTAGATTATACTCTCGTGTAGCTTATCTGCGATTGTTATACTGCAGCAGTACACTTGCTTGCAAGTAGTCAGAAAGTACATTCTCTTGCTTTTCTTAACTAAAACTTTAAATATCGATTGAGGTCACCAAGTGCTTGGGACTAGAGACAAAAAAATATCAAGTAATGGCATCAAAAATGATCTGATAATTATCAAAATGCGCAAATTATGCTAGCATTGCTACTTGGCAGAAATTATGCCAGTTTGCTCGAATTATGCCAAAAATTACGCTAGCATAATCTATAAATGCCTAGTCTTTGATATAAGATGGTAGTTTGTGAACTGGTGGTTGAAGGTAGTGGTCAACGAACTGGGATATCCGTTCGGTGGGATGGCCATTGGATGAGACAATAGGGCGTCCTGGATTACCGGGTTTGTGTATTTTGGGTAAAATGTAAAATCGTCCTGGTCTTACTTCAGTCTGTAAGAGGTATTGTTTTGTTGTTTCGTTGATAAGGTTGTCTTTATGCATCCTGTTAACATAAAAGGTAACACGTTTTTGTATATCAGCAATGATGTCATTGGTCAAGCTTTTATAAAATTTAGTGTCAGAAAGTTGTCTGTTGCAATCATCGATGTACCAAGTTGTGTCCATAACAACAATACCAGAACCTTTGTCGACGGGTTTTATAATTATGTCCTTTCGTTCCTTAAGTTCGCGTATGGCTTGTCGTTCTGTAAGAGTGAGATTGTCGCGGGTAGTTTTCGGTTTACAAGTGGTTATGTCAAGTTTAGCAGAGTTTAAAAAGGTGTCAAGGGTTCGTTCTCCTTGTGGGGGGGAGGGGGGGTTCCAAGTGCTCTTGTTATGGAAAGGGTGTCATTTTCGTTAGTGTTGGAGTTGTCACAGTTCTCGTTGAAAAAATATTCAGTTAGTCGCATGCGTCTTGAAAAATCGTAAATGTCGGCTGAAACTTTCGGCCAGTTTATTTATATGTCGAGGTGTCGGACAGAATGTAAGTCCGCGTGAAAGAACAAATGTCTCGTTCGTAGTAACGGAAAAACGAGATAGATTAATGACAGAAGAATGATCTAGGTGGAAGCGAGCAGGCTTAGTTTTGCGGCGACAGCGTTTACGTTTGGGGTTGGTAATGGGTGGGTTAGTTGAGTCGTGAATGTAATGTGTATTATTAGATGATGTTTCGTTATGACCAGAATTAGAGAGGACTTGGTGTTTACCTTTAGAGCTATTGTCGGTAAGATTGTGGTTAATGAAGCGCCAGATGGGAGCATTCTTTTTGTCACGTCTTTTGGCAAGCAGAGACTCGAGGGACCAGGCCATAGAATTAAGTTTGGCTGAATAAAACAAGAACATATTCCGGTGAAGCTTTTGTTGAGTGCTTGATGCGCAGGCTAACTGTTTTAGCACAAGGAACAGCTTTTTGTAGTTTAAAAAATAATAATAAAATCAATACAAACAGATGTATTATTTAGCGTGTTTCGCAATTAACGTGACTAAAAGGCTACTAAGTCGAGTTCCTTGATACAAGCAAGACTCTGAAAGCTATAATTAATTACGAAACTTTCCTTGTAAGCAATTACCGCCTGAAATGTTCAGGGTGTGTAGGTATTTTAGCTTATGAACACGACCGCATGCAACTATATTAAACGCTTTTTATTAGCACCCGTCAAACTCTTTTACCTCACGTAAGCGCTAGAGTCACTGGCTTCTTTCTCTGTGGATTCCAAAGAGACCCAAGGCATTTCCTTCACAGAAGCATTGCGCTTGATGCGGCAGTTGATACAAATAACTGAACGTAGGAAAATCTGGATTAATATACGCGCGACAGAGTGTGGGGAAAACGGTAGAGATTGGATGAAATGAGACTTAATTCAAATAACTTGTTCCTACCTGAACCTATTTGAATAAGAGCTCCGAAGAAATGGCCTTTGACATTTCGAAATTGACAGAATACCGGCTCCATCAATCAATCAATCAATCAACGTTATTTAATGAGGGTAACACGGGACAGTGCTTCAACTGAGTAACTAGTGGCCCTTTATGCCCCCTTTGAATCGCTACCAGGGTGTGTCGGATACTGGCACGCCGTTCTTTGACGCCAGAACTTCCCATTAGTGTGCCTATGCTTTGCGCAAACCCACACTTTTGCCATAAGTCTCCCATATCGAACAGGCCAGCCCTTGATAGGAAAAGCTCTCCTTCCGTAACACTTGACAAATAGATTGAGGAGAGGTGACTCTCTGTTAAGTCAGTATATCGGAGTAAGTTAAATAAGCCGGAAACTCCTCGTGAATCTCCTCACGAATTTTCTATGAAACGCGACAGAAAAAAAGTCGTCTTGTTGCGCTTACCTCTTCAAGAATTTATTGTCGATAGAGACAATTGAGTTACAATAATTAAAATTACGCGCTTTACAACAAAAATATGGCTAATTGTTGGAAAATGGGGTGACACGCAACGAAATAACTTCTTTTTTTAAGAAATTAGGATCCTTTTTCACAAGAACTCCTAAAAGTTATGAATAGAAATTGTCATAAAGACAGGTGTGACGACTAAATATCTCGTAGTCCTACGACTAGACTTCCATGTAATCATTGCTCTATTTAGGTGAGAGAAGTAATTCGAGATAAATACACAATTGAATGACACGAGTGTCACTGGTCACGGTGTAATTAAGCAGTTCTGTCACCATAGGTTAAGCCAAATAAAATCATGTAGTTTGGTTGGGAAATCTTCATACTGGTTTGAATAGTTTAAGCTTTCTAAACTCAAATATGACACAAAAAAAACCAGTTTTTTTTGACAGAGTTTCTCATTAAAACGTTGACCGGTCGCTAATCAATGATATTCGATACGGTTCTTGATCACTTGTCTTCGCCACTAGACAGAATAATCTATCAATTGGTGTGTTCTAAAGGCTCTCTCCTACTATCTTTTCAACTTAAAATGGTTTAAATCTAAGATGTATTAAGCTACTGATATAAAACTGTTGGAGTGTCCTTAGCAGACTAATTTGCATAATTTGGCTGTCGCGCTAGAAAAATCATCAAAAGTTTGAATTCACTACGGCGAAGGAGATTAATAAGTGCAAGACGTTTTTATATTTCTATGCCTTCGAACATCTTATCAGAAGAAATCAACCGTAGGTGTCGATGGTCTGGTCTGGACTTGAGAAATATCAACCAAGAAAGAAAGAGTACTTTTGACCAATTTCAGAGAGCTGTCTAATGGGTGTTTTAGATAAACTATTGCGAACCTCTACACAAACACACATCAAAATTGAAATGCTTTTCGGTACGGCTTCGAATAACTTTCAATTGATTTAAGGGCCTGTCACATACTGAAGTCTGTTTATGGGAAGAGTAACACCCACAAAGTTGCAATCTAGAAAACACCTAGTTCATTTATCACAGTACTTGAAATGCTTTTTTTCCGTGAGCTCTAAAATAGAGCAGCAATTCCGTGGCCCAGAATTTACTCCTGGCTGTAGTCCTGGTTTTTGATTAAGTTGTGGTATTGCTGCAATGTTGTTTGAAGGGTCCAGTGCCATGACCTGACCTAACATGCTTAACCTAAAGATCGCTGTAATTGTTGCAAGAATAGCAAGAGGCGTACAATTTTGGTAAAGCTTCCTGGCAGTAGATAGGGACTCGAAAGGTTTCACCATTAAGCATAACGCCCAGCGAGTGACAGACTATTAGACCAACTGTTTTGCATGATTAATATATAACCCTACGTTCAAGAAACAGAAAAACTAAACTTCCTCGACAGGGGCATCTAAATCAATCAATTATGTGAGCATACATAAAAGGAAACGTCGGAGGCTATTCCTATCGAAGACGCTCCCTACATAAAAGATAAAATATATGTACTACGGTGTAAAACTTACGAATCATCTTAAACTTTCTGCTTTTAGTAGAACAGTTTGTTCATCATCATGATAAACACAACGATGGTTCCACGCATGACAACTTTACCACGTGGGATCTCAGCAGAAGCACATGTYTTCAAGTGTGGAGTCTTGTCTGACACTGCCAGTGTCTGCATGTTGTTGCAGGCTTTATCAAAACACGAGGCCAAGGTCTTCACCCAGACATTTTGTCCCTCCACTTTCAAAGAGAGTGTTCCTTGTTGTACAGCTGAGGCAAAATCTTTGATGGTCTTGTTTAGGTCAATTGATGGAGTGGATGTAATAACGACACCCAGGGCTTTCTTATCCGCTAACGAGACAACAATTTCCAGGTTTTCTGGATCCTCAACTCTCCCAGTATAGGCAAGCCAGTCCATCACATCTGAGTTCCACCTCAAGGCACTCGCAATGGCTGAGCCAACTCCGTCTGCGAATAGACTTTGAGCATCAGACTCAGGAAGAGGATCAGGTGAGGGTCTTGATGGCAGAAACCTTACAACCTTCAGCGTGATCACTCTGACTGGGCCATCTTTCAGCTCTCTGTAGCATTTCTTGATGTTAGCAGACCATCTACATTCATAGCCTATGTTCCACAATCCTTTGAGAGATTCCCAGAGTGTGTCAACTTTGGTAAAGGAACCCTTGATGCTCCAAAAGATCTTGAAGTAATCGGAGCAGTCAAGATCACAGACTTTGTCTGTGACTGCAGTATCTAAGTAGCATGGTGTATGAGAGGAGTATGCTCTCTCTCTTATTTGTTCACAGGTTGGATTCATCCATGGTCGTAACAGTGGCACCAGTGCTACCAGTAGGCATTTACGAACTTCATCGACCCATTTTTGGGCGATAAGAGTAAATTTTGCAAAGGTCTCGTGTTGCAGCTTGCAAAAATGTTCGGCGTATCTTATTACATATTCATTACTTGTAGCTTCACAGGGATACTTTCTTTCCAAGCAGTTGCTATACCAACCACAAGAATCCGCTGGTGGACTATAGCACTCTGGAGGCAGCTGTGACCTGCTTGGTGCGAGAGTTTTTGGATTTGGGGCTACTGTGCAAGAACAATCGCTCGTCACCGTTCCACTTACCTTGTTGTTCTTTTCACGCATACAATCGTACCAGCAGTAGGTTGCTGTTGGGTCATAACATTGGTGTCTTTGGTTACTCTTTTGCTTAATGTATGCATCTGTTAGGCATGTTGCCCATTGATATCCATAATTGTACTGAATGCATTTCACAGTTCCAGCGGGTCCAGACCTCTTGTCACACTGGGCGGCCCATCCCAACTCGACTACAACCAATACCATAAAGAGAATTGGCATTGTCCCGCCTAGAAAATGTAATAAAGCCATTTTAGTAGAGATTACCAATCAATACGTTTGCAGTGAGAAAAAGGATACAATAGAAGTCTCCTAACTCGAACTCTCAGGGGAAACGAAAACTGGTTTGTCGATTAAATATGTTCTGAAATTTTTAAGTCTGTTGACCGGCGTTTTCAGTAAAAGTTCGGCCAAGTTCAAGAAAGCCGATAGTAAATGACTAGAAATTTGGGGTTAAATCCAGGGGAAATCAGACCTTGTTCGAGTTAGAGTGGGTTGCAAATTTGATGCCAGCACAGGCTAGGCGGCCCAAGGGTGTTTTCTGTGATTTTTGGGTGTAAAGGTCATCATGTGGCAAAATATTTTGCTCGGTTCGCGAAAATTTTCTGGATTTTGAAAAGATTCTTGGAATGTAAACTATTTCTGATTTTCGAGAAAGTTATTTGTGGATCCATGAGTAAAACTAGGATTTGAAACTGTTTTCTCGATTAGGCAAACTTTTCAAAAGCGATTTATCTAAAAGATATCGATCCTAAATATTTTTTCGGATTTGTGCAATATCTTTGGACTGTCCCTTTTCGGCTTCCGTAGACATTACTTTAAAATTGAAGCCAACAAACTGCTGGATGGGTTATAGGCTCACTCCCTATTAAAGTGTGGAACTTTTGAGCAAGCACCATTACCGTATTTAGAAAGATTAAAACCGGAACTGGGTATTTCCGCGAGAAACCATAACAAGAAAAGAGAGGGGTCTTCGTTTTCGGGTTTTAAGTCGTAGGTCTTAATTAGGTATAAGCTTTCGAGGGTCTTCATTTCCGCTACAACCTTGAGGTGAGCAGCCCTCTATATCTATGTATTGTAGCACAGCACACGGCACAAAGAACTTCGCCAAAGTAGCGTTAAATCGACTGGAAGTGACTAGGCAAGCTACGTAATAAAAATTATATTCCTCGCTTTTAATATCCCTTTTCTTAATTTTTTTTTTTTTCATTTTTAACTTGTTTTGCTACATTTTCATGAAGAAACGAGGTCATAAAACAAAACATACCTTTCAAGGGTAATTTTTGCAAGTTGCCTAGCAAATGACTACCAGAAATTTCTTGAAAGTCTTGCCTTCCCAACGGGTTAGTAAACGTCATTGCACTTTAAGAGGGTCCACAACAGGTTTTTTGGGATCCGGGATTAGGCTTATTTGAAGACCGGGACTCGGTAATGTAGAGTAAGAAAGGAGCGATAGGCGAAATTGTTGGTATAAACGGGACACGGAAGTCGGCAATTTTGAGGGGTGGGATTCTGGAAGTGACCTAGAAGAACCGAGAACAGGGAAGTCCGTGACGAGAATTTACACAGAAACTTATCTTTGTGGAAGTCCAAAAAAGCCTTGCCTCCCACGTAGTCTTTTTTAGGGGATCGTGTTTCCCTTCTCCTGACAAACGCGGATGACCTGTTAAGTTGTACGACACTAGACGTGGAGAATATTCATTCGGTTGTGCAACACAAAGATCCACTTTGAACGGTGGTAGATTACGCAAGAAACTTTGGAAATGTAGCCACAGAAGACAGACTTAGAGAAGATGACCCACTGGGCGGCGTATTAGTTTACAAATCCAAAGTTTTGGCATCGTGCACCCGAAAGCGCCATGATCCTGTCGGTTATACCGATATCCAACCGTTACCAGCTGTACTAATGACACTACAGAGCATACAGAAGATGAGAGACTGGGCGTGAATGCTGAATCAGCGTTCTATTAGACAGAAAACAATGATAGCAACATCGTACCTCGATCATAGAGAAATTCAGCCGGGTGAACTGGTCAGCCTCGAGCAAGCTGACCTTGAGGAGCAGCAAGAAAAAACAAGGGGCTACAAGACGAAGAGGAATATGGGAAATACGATTTCCCAGGCAGTGAAGAAGAATCGGGTGAGTCATTTCCGGACGACGAGGCCGCATTCAACGGCAGAATCAAATTTAGTTTATTTTCCTTTATTACCCTTGTTATGGAGCTATGGAATTACCTTCACCTTTTGCTGTTTTATGCAGTTGTTGACATTGTTATTCTTTGATACTGCCTTGTCTTAACTAATGTTTCTCCGTGATCGAACTTAAACGGAAGGAATAAAGGCTGATAGTTTCGAAAGAAACTGTTTGGGGCTGCGTCGGTGGGAGTAACGAAATAATGTGGATATATCAACAAAGTTGAAATGGTAAATTGGCCACCGTAACGATTACAAAAGCTGACGTTTCGAGCGTTAGCCCTTCGTCATTCGCTCCGACGAAGGGCTAACGCTCGAAACGTCAGCTTTTGTAATCGTTACGGTGGCCAATTTACCATTTCAACTTTGTTGATATATCCAAATTATTTCGTTACTCCCACCGACGCAGCCCCAAACAGTTTCTTTCGAAACTATCAGCCTTTATTC